ATTCCTGTCTCCACATGTCATCGACGCTTCGAAGACCTGGAGCCAGCATCAGCACCTGCACGGCCTTCAGCAGCTGACACTGTCCGAGTAACTACCTCCAGTATCCTGCTCGCCTCTGCATACCTGCTCGCCGCAACGCCTCGCCAGACTGCAGCACCAAGTAACATGACGTCACTACTCCACCGGACATCAGCGCAACTCGGACTGCTTAACCTCAACGCATCATCAAGCCACTTGGTCTTCGGCATTTCATCGCAGTACCAGTATTGGATCTACAGTACGACATGTGCTCTATCCTCGGTCGGCACTCAAGCATCTCAGGGTCTACAGCAGCCACGACTGTCGACACACTCCAGCGTGCAGCCTGCTCTACCACTGCTACATGCCTGCTAGCCTCACCGCCTGACTGCACGATGAAGCATCTCTGCCTCAAGACATCAATGGCTGAACAGCGTCTTCGACACTCCAAAAAGGGGGAGTGATGTGGCGGCGCGCATGTGCCCCACATGCCAAGTCCTGAGCTGCCTAGCAACTGGATAACAAGCTTACGTCACACAGTGAGAGAAGATTGGCCAATCAGAAGACGAAGCCTGAAACGCGGTATCGAAGTGTTTCCGTCGATCGCTATAAATACAACTTCCAAACATGTCCGGTCGGAACAGTCGTTCCCCTGGTCTCAACTCCCTGACCAGGTGGGTTGCAACCCTTTTCCCTCCTCCGTCGTCACTCGACCTACTGGTCTCATCACTCCTCCTACAACTTTTACCTGCGCATGGTGCTTGTTAGATATTAATCTTAAATGTATCTAAGTATGAATGCATAAAGACACTGAAAAATGGAACGAAGAAATATAGAATGCCTACCTATAGGTACCAACTTAGCTTACTACTTAGGTGACTTAGCAAGGGCATTCTACTGAAAATACTCTAAACTGCATTGAATTGCAAATTACTGCATCGGATGGGATCGAAGCAAACTTACAGAGTGTTCTGTGCTTCGAAGCGCACGTTAATCTGCCAGCCTTTGAATGAGATCACACAAATGGCGTCTGTTAAGCTCCTATGTCGTGGTTTAACAAATAACATGAGGTTTTTTATGGGGTATCTCGACCGCTGTGCAATCTATAAGCAAACTAAGGGCAAGTAGATATTTAGCTATAGGTAGGTATATTATTCGATCACTGATACTCGTGATATTTGCCTATTTTTTTATTCAAGTATACTTACCTACTCATATTTTTTTCGGTTGGGTACCTTAATAAATCAATCTATGAAAACAGGTAAGCAGGTACTAGAATATCCCAAAAAATTATAAATTGTTAGACATATTGCGATAATTTCAATGAGAATGAAGCAAGGTATGGAGATACAGAATATGTTATCCGGTAGTTGCATATGTAACATTGGGTGCACACTGTAGGTACCTCACACACATGCATGCGGCTAAATCTAGAAGTTAAATGCAGCTGATTTTCATTCTGAGGTGCTGTAAAAGCTCTAACTACTGAAAACCTCAATATTTTCCAGGAAAATATAGGTTTGCTCACTGAGTGAGTCTTGTGTCAATTCTTGTGTCAAGTCTTGAAGTCGAAATATTTTAGGATTCGACACAGTGATTCGACACTAGTTTCAAGGTTAATAAATGCAAATACATTGTATATCTATTAGTAACTGGCGCATAATGTTGTGAACTTTATAAGTACCTACCGGGTGAATTTTGTACCTACCTGAAGGATAAGTTGACTATTTTTTATCGTCAACTTATCAGACCATAAAAGCCAGCTGTAAACGGATTGAAGCTAAATACTTGAAATTATTATGCTAAAACCTTATATCGCGTATAAATAAATGACCGATACTACAGTCGATCCTAAAAAAAGCTCTACAATTTGCCGTCACTTTAGTTAGGGAAATGAGTTACATACGCCATTTCAAAATCCTATCCATCGAGAGTTCTTTCGTCGATAATTATCTCTCGAAGATACTATTCATCGAGTAAAATGCCGTTTTTCAGAATTTTACAGTAACATACACCTAGGTAGACGCGTTCTGACCCAAAACCATGACAAGTCGGTCTTTGGTAAACAAAATTCTCTGTACGTGAACGTACCTATTACTCACCTAGGTACTTTTAAAATTTTCCATACCACAATGTATCGAAATGGCATAAAAATTTCGTTTGATTTTGCCGCCTTTGTTGAATCAAAAATAATACATCTTCGTGAAAACTGCAATTTTTTTTTTCGTTTTTACCATGACAGCGAGGTGTAAGTGTAGCAAAGTATTGTAAAAATTAAGTCGCTTTTTTGTTTACTCAGTCGTAGAATTCGCTAACTCCTCCTAAACCATACAGCGGATTTAAATGCGATTATTTAAAACTTGGGTAGGTTTTTAAAACTTAGGTAGGTAGTAGGTACATGCCGGGAAATGCTCTCTTCCTTCTTTCTTCTCTCAATCGCGGTAAAATGAGTTGCAGCGGGTAAGCGATACGTAACATAATAATAGCCATTTGGACTGTAGCCCGTGAAAAAGAAATTCTTGTCTACATACATAGGTAGTCATATACATACATAGGTACATAGTCTCGAAAAACATAACCCTCCTGAGGCAGTCTGGTAGAAAATCTCACACAGTTTTGTTTAAGCATTTTTTGCGGTGTACTTCCATTGCAGTTTCGTCAGCACTTTTTACACAACCATGCAAGTAAGCTCTTGTAAAACTCTGACACCAGGGTTCATCGGGACTTTGGAAGACTCGGTGTCTCATTCAAGAAAGGGAGAGAGAGAGATAGAGAGAAAGAGAAAGCGAAATACACGCCTGCTACACAACTTTGTTCTGTGGAATGCTGCCGGACCGTGCCTGATTGCAACCTATACGGGGATCACTCAGTGATGCTAAAGATCGTATAAACCTTATTCGTTCTCATATAGTTAAACGGCAATTGGTTAGTTTATATTAATACTTACCTCCTTTACTACATGCCCTGCTTTCTCTATCTATTCCAGTAAGTTGTCCGTAAATTAAAATTTTAATAAAGTAGGTAAGTAACTAAGTATAGCTCCTTTTTATAGACAAACATACGATGTGGTAAGGAGCGACTTTATTTTAATTACCTAACATATTCAAATAGGATTTTGTGCTTTTAAAGTCTGCATAATGAAATGAAACAAACGGAAAAGAACTTATTTTACTGCGAAGTTAGCTTAAGAGAATTATACGTCCCTAATCCATTTACTTTTAAAAAGTTTACTTCTTGAAGAAAATCAGTTTCATAAACAGTTGTGCACGTATTTTTCATCCCCTTTATTCAAAGAACTGACCTTTGGGCACTTTAAGTGTGACTAAAGCAGGTCATATAATCCCTAGGGATTAAAAGTGATTTCAATTTTCTACATGAATATTTGCAGCCAATAAATCGCAATTACCTACAAATTGCTTTTTTTCTGCACTTTTCTCTGCAACACTACCTAGTATATCTGCTATTTTATTGAGTATTTTACACCTAGTTCCTTTTGGCGCCATTACCTACTGGCAAGCAATGGTCATCGACCATTATCAGCCTCTCAATTTCCTTACAATATGAAATGAAATGAATCAAAATGTTTTCTTAATTAATTGAAATCCTACTAATATTATAAAGGCGGATGTTTGTGTGTGTGTTTGTTACGACATCACGCTAAAACGGCTGATTAGATTGACATGAAATTTTGCACAAATATAGAAGACTATCTGGAATAACACATAGGCTACTTTTTACCACGGGAAAATGTCTTATTCCTACGGGATCACGCATATTCCGATATTTTTACAAAGGTGGCGTGACTGAGCCGATTCGCGTTTTAAACGTTTTCGCCGAAAACTAACAGCGACATCTCTTGGCGAGTAATGCTTTCTTCCCGCGTAATAATAGGTTGCAGCGGGTGAAACCGCTGACGGGCAGCTAGTTTAATATACGTAAGAAACGAGAATTAATAGATACCAGCAAGTAATATTTAGGAGAGAGGTATTTATTGTTTTTGTCATATAGGAGTACGAAAAGTAGTATTACCTACCCATACTCGGGGGTAAAGTATTATTGATCCTCGGGCGACTTACATTGAATCCCACGCTTTACTCAGGATTCTGCAGATCGAAAATTTACTCAAGGATCGTTCGTTCCGCTCGTGGTTCAAAATAAGTGCCCTCGCCCTAAATATTATATTACTTTAATCCCTTATTATAAAAACTACTATTTTAGTTTTCTAATTGTTTGAGGTATAGTCATATAATAAATCGGTCACAGTATAAAATTAAGTCGATTTTTGTGTTTCTCTGTCTCGCTGTCGTAGAATTCGCAAACTGCTCCTAAACAACGCAATGGATTTTGATGCGGTAAAACACATGCCGGTAAAATGCCTTTTTCCCGCGGAAAAATAAGTAGCAGCGGTTGAAACCTTTAACGGGCCGCTAGTCCTCGTATAAGAATGAAGTGGTTAAAAAAGGCACTGGGAAATTTTTACTTATTTGTGGTTCTTGCGCGTAGAAGGCCCAGGTGTCGGCATTTAGTTACCGAGATAATTGCAATTTGGTAAAACTAGTATTTTAAGAGTTACATCTTTGGATGTCGGTTACAAAAAATACCTTAATTAGAATAATTAGTTTCTGGTAGTTCTCATTACAATAGTTTCTATACGAAATTAGTCGAAAGTCTATATCGGCATGATAGACCTCGGAAATATTTGCATTATTATGAAGTTGGGTTTTGGGAGTTAAAATTGAAAGTTTCAGAAAATATATTGTTTTTAATAGTCAATATAAAAGAGGGACTCTTGTGGGTTCCGGAATTGATCTTAACTCATTACCTCGGATATTTTGCGCGGGAGCACATTAATTGATTTTTTTGTAAAGGTCATCATTGTTTCAGCAAAATGTGACCAATTATAAAATTTTAAGTTTTGAATTATGATCTACGGACGATGATATTGATGACAAAAGTGAAAATAAGAAATAGAAAAAATGTCATACATCGACCGGGAATCGAACCCGGGCCGCGTGGGTAAGCGCCCCACCGCTCTGCCACTGAGCTATCGATGTACCTGCCGATGGATGCCAAATTTTCTATCTCTTGATTATTTTCACTTGTGAGAATAATATAGCACTGTGAGTGCATTAAAATCCCAATAGATTGATGACAAAAGTTACTATCCAACAAATAACCAAAGGAGTAATCTCAGCTGCAGAAGTCGATATTGAAAGTTTGATATTTCTGACCTACTTATCCACAAAAGTAGTTGCAAAATTATTTCAGATGTAAGATGATACTACCTCTATGCCTTTTATTACCTGTTTGTGGACACTTCATTAAAAAATAGATACATGAATAAGCACAGAATAAACATAAATCTGACATGAAAGTTGCATGAAGTAAAATCGCAATACATTTGTATAGGTACCATACTATCGAGAAGCGACAAATAACGTAGAAAATCGTAAAAGACCAAGTATGTACTACTCACTGAAGTAGTTCATAGTGCTGGTAGTGCGGAGCCGGAGGCTGCATCTCCTGCAGATGCAGGTAGAAGTCGTGGACACGCGCATACTCGCGCGCCATGCCGCCGCCGCCGCCCCGCGCCGCGCGCGCACCGCGACCACTGCACGCGACCGCTCGCCGCGGCTATGCCTTCCGACTGGCGATTTTCTCGAGCCGTACAACCACGCAGCCTGCGAACGAGCCTCACGTTCACGCACAAACCTTGCAACCCCCAGCCCTAAACTGCCCAACTGCGACGTAGACTTTACTCTACCTCCGCCCAAAAAATGCCCATCACCCGCCGCGCCGCCCCGGCTTCGTAAACTACTGAGTTTCAAACTTTCAGACGTTGTAGTTAGCTATGATTTTATATCCCACATCATTCTTACCAGCAGAGTTTACTTCTTTGTCCACGCCCTCTATATCTGCTACGATAACAGTTTGTTTATTCATTCTTACCTTCAAACATAAAGTAATACAAGACAGTGGGCTGAGAAAACCGACCAAGAGGTGTTAGACACGCCCATAAATAGGGGTTCGTAGTCAAAGTATCATGAGTAGCAAAAATATGTGTCAGGCTTTTCAGCGTTACAAATTTAATTTTGATAGCTGGTTTGTTTGCAGCTGTGTGGTTCCCAAACGCAAAAAGCTTTTGATTTTATTTTTCTTATATCTTGAGCTTGAGAGATACAGTATCCGCTATAATTTTCATGGTAACTTTAGATAATTAAGAAATTATATAATAAATTCCTTTTTTTAAGAAACATTTGAATGCCTTTGTTTCAAAGAAACCTCCCCTTAGTTTCAAACCTACTCAGTGATAAGCTGTACAACAGAAGAAAAAAGTTTTCCTATATCTTTCACCGCAGGATAAAAACCTGTGACCTTCGGCATCAGTACTGCCGACGACTCTACCAACTGGTCTACCGCGGTTCTATCCTAGTAAGTATGTATATCTTGGCCACTAACGCGTAGCAGGGCTCTATCTATCTACCGGGATAGCTTTTGCTAACAACGATTCCAAGTAACACGGGAAGTGTCATAAAATTTATTGTTTATCGCAAAATACTACTTTAAAATTACCGCAGTCGTGATTCTGTTTTAGAAACCCTTATCATTTCGTCAAGTCTGTCTGTCTGTCTGTCTGTCTGTATGCCCTAATATCTTCGTCAGTTGTAGAGCAATCGACATGAAATTTTGTGAGAAGTTAGCAGATTGTTGTTGACCCAAATATAGAAATGTTGAGAAAAAAAACCGGCCAAGAGCGTGTCAGATACGCCCACAAATAGAGTTTCGTAGTCAACGTCTACATATCAGGTTTTTCAGCGTTACAAAGTAAATTTTGTTGCTGGTGTGTTTGCAGCTGTAGGGTAACCAACCGCAAATAGAAAAACTACTTTTATTTTCTGAAGTCTTAAGTGGTATCAGTTATAGTTTTCATGGTAACTTCTTATTATAAGCTACTAGCTGCCCGTCAGCGGTTTCACCCGCTGCAACCCATATTTTACCCCTTCAGGGGTCAAAAAACGGAAATCCCTGAAACACGTATTTAATTTTCTTATCTAATCGCAAATTTTGAAACAGATCGCATATTAAAATACAGATTTTCCATACAAACTTTAAACTCCCTTTTTACCCCTTTAGGCGTTAAAAATAGAAAATCCCTGAAACATGTGTTTAATTATTTTAGCTTTTTGATCTAATCGCAAATTTTGAAACAGTTCGCATATTAAAATAAAGATTTCCCATACAAACTTTTAACCCCTTTTTTACCCCTTTAGGAGTTAAAAATCGAACATCCCTGAAACACGTGTTTAATTATTTTAGCTCTTTGATCTAATCACAAATTTTGAAACAGATCGCATTGAAAAATAATGATTTTCCACACAAACTATTAACCCCTTTTTTACCCCTTTGGGGGTTAAAATTTGAGGTAAAGAATATTTAAAAACCTGCCCCTTAACTTACTCTATATACTAAATAAAAAGCGGCCAAGAGCGTGTCAGACACGCTCACAAGTAGGGTTTCGTAGTCAAAGTTTAAATATCAGGTCTTTCGGCGTTACAAAGTTAATTTTGTTGCTGGTTTGTTTGCAGCTGTATGATTACCAACCGCAAATTGAAAAACTTTAATATTTCCCTAATCTTAAGTGGTACAGTATTCGTTATAGTTTTCATAGTAACTTCATATTAAGAACTATATTCCAATTTTTTTTCAAATTTTTTGCTTGCATTCTTTAGAAGTTACAGCTGGAACAAATTATGGCTCAAAAACGCCCCCCTTTTAAAAGCAAATATCTCGAGACAGAAACAGTTTAGTGACTTTGTGTCAAAGAAACCTCCCCTTAGTTTTGAAAGACCTATTCAACGATACCCCACTAAATACCACAGGAGAAAAAAAAAAGTTTGCCCCCCTTTCACATGTTTCGGAAGGGGGTCCAAAAAACAATTAATATATTTTTTTCGCAACATTTCTAAATTTGGGTCAACACAATCTATCTTCACACCAAATTTGATGTCGATATCTCCAAAACTAACGAACTTATGAGGGCGCGGCATACAGACAGACAGACAGACTTACCGAAATGATAAAGGTTTCTAGTAGACTACGAAACCCTAAAAAACCGCATCAAAATCCGTTGAGGGATTTTAAAGATATAAGGAAACATACATACAGACTACTTTATACTATGTATTGATAATATTCCATATTTTTTTTTTACTTTAAAAGTTACAGCTGGAACAAATTATGGGTCAAAAATGCCCCTTTTAAAAGCAAATATCTCGAGACAGAAACATTCTAGTGACTTTGATTTAAAGACACCTCCCCAAGGTTTAAAAGACCTATCCAACAATACCCTACTCAATATTAAAGAAAAAAAATTGCCCCCTTTCGCTTGTATGAGAGGAGGTCCAAAAAACATTTGATATAATTTTTTCTCAGCGTTTCTATATTTGAATCAACACGATCTATCATTACACCAAATTTCATGTCGATAGTTCTAAAACTGACGAAGATATGAGGGCACGGCATACAGACAGACAGACAGACTTGACGAAATTTGAATAGGTCTTTTAAAACTAAGGGGAGGTTTCTTCGAAACAAAGTCAGTAAAATGTTTCTGTCTCGAGATAGTTGCTTTTAAAAGGGTTGTTTTTGAGCCATAATTTGTTCCAGCTGTAACTCCTAAAGTATTACGGCAAAAGTGTGAAAAATACCTATATGGAATCTAGTTTATTATCTTAAGTTACCATTAAAACTATAACGGATACTGTACCACTAAATAATCCAGATAAATAAAAGTTTATCAATTTGCAGTTGGTAACCATACAGCTGCAAACAAATCAGCAACAAAATTAACTTTTTAACGCTGAATACCTGATACTTAAACGTTGACTACGAAATCCTATTTGTGGGCCGGTTTTTAGGGTTTCGTAGTCTACTAGAAACCCTTATCATTTCGTCAAGTCTGTTTGTCTGTCTATCTGTATGCCGCGCCCTCATAACTTCGTCAGTTTTGGAGCTAACGACTGCAATATTGAGTAGAGTATCGTTGAATAGGTCTTTTAAAAAACTAAGGCGAAGTTTCTTCGAAACAAAGTCTCTAAAATGTTTCTGTCCCGACATATTTGCTTTTATTAGGGTTGTTTTTGAGCCATAATCTGTTCCAGCTGTAACTTCTAAAGTATGCATGCTAAAAATTTGAAAATATATAGAATATAGTTCATGATACGAAGTTACCATAAAAACTATAACGAATGCTGTACCACTGAACATTAAGGAAATATTAAAGATTTTCAATTTGCGGTTGGTAACCAACCATACAGTTACAAGCAAACCAGTAACAAAATTAACTTTGTAATATAGTACTGAATGCCTCAGCCCGTATCACTACTGTTTGTTTTGCTCAGAAGCTGTGAGTGCTACGATTTTTATTATACTAGCTTTTCATGGTCATGTCATGATCTATTTTCATTTTAGGGCTTACAGTTGAGCATTGTTTTAATTTCAGACTATGCACATGTCATTGGAGCGTATCGGACAACGAGACTGCGGTCGGTATAGATTTGTCTACAGAAATATTATGAAGAAGAAGATTTGTTTGTATCTCCTTTAGAGCTACAACGTCTCTGATTAACATACGCTACTTACTACGGAAAAAGGTCTTTTTAACGCGGGCAATCAACGCTGTGATACTGCTGTGTAGGTCTACATCAATAACTAATACAATTAAGACTCGACCTTAACAGTAGACGTCACTAAATCTACGTCAAAAAAGCGGCCAAGAGCGTGTCAGAGACGCTCACAAATAGGGTTTCGTAGTTAAATATCAGGTCTTGCAGCATTACAAAGTTAATTTTGTAGCTGGTTTGTTTGCAGCTGTATGTTTACCAACCGCAAATTGAAAAACTTAAATATTTTCTTAATCTTAAGTGGTACAGTATTTGTTTTAGTTTTCATGGTAACTTCATATTAATAACTATATTCCATATTTTTTTTTAAATTTTTGCTTGCATACTTTAGAAGTTACAGCTGGATCAAATTATGGCTCAAAAACACCCCT